CTGATGCAAGAACCAAGTTTCTGGAGCTGGCATGAGTGTACGGGCAGCCAATGCGGGTACATGCCCCATCAAATAAACAATTGGGATGAACGTAGAGACATTTGTCACCAAACTTGCATGATGGAAAGGATCTAAAAAAGAAAATAGCTAATAGAAATTAATACGGAAATTACATTGTTTTAAAACAAATGCAAAATTAAAAATGACAGGTACCTTTGCTAACTATACAAAAATTAGAATATTCATATTATGAATTGCAGTGTTTGGAATTTAATGAAACTTTTTCATTAAACATTAATAAACCATAAAAAACAATATTTATAATTCATAATCATTATGACTTATGTACTGTACAATATGATATCCTGGGTTAGATTTAATTAACTGCCTAGTCAACTAGGTTTTGGCTCCTAACAATAAACATGCATATGTAGCCATAAGAATGTAGCAGATTTGGCATAGTTACATAGGTGGATCCAAATGGCATACTGCCAACAAACAGTGAAGAAAAGACACATTGCAGAGCAAGATTTTATTGGGACTTTGTCAGGTATCAGTCCAGACTCCTCTTGAAAATTTCCACCTTTGTACTGGCAGAAAATTGAAGAGCCTTGGACAATGGATATACAAACAGTGTTCTCTAATGTGCCTATTGCACCACTGCTTTTCAATGTGTTTACAGGTACCATCCGACTTACGACCGAGTTCGGTTCCGACCATCCGGTCGTATGTCGAAATGGACGTAAGTTGAACCTTACTACTGAATATCAACATCACATTCTTGTAATGACTTTATTTTATTGTTTTATTTTGGTATTTCATTTTTTACTTTACTTTTTATGCTGTTAGTACTGAATTTTATACTATAAGGTTAGGATAAACACTGTGTACAACACAAACAGTTGTTTATTTCCCAGAAATTTGGCATACAAAACACGGTCATAAGTCGAATGGTCTTATGTCCAGCAAGTTGTAAGTCAGATGGTAGGTGTATTTTACATTTTCTCCTGTATCTCTCACTCCAGAAATTTTTATGGTTAGTGTGCACAAATGGGGGCCTGGTCCTCAAATATTATCCATTTGCAATACATATTACAAGGCATCTCACTCTTCTCCTTTACAGAGTACATTCTAAGTGCTTTGAGAAGCTCCAAGTAGTTTGTGTGTTTAATGAAATGCATAAATGTAGTAGGTTGGTAGACAGCAACCACTCGGGGAGGTACTACCGTCCTACCAAGTGAGTGTAAAAAGGAAGCCTGTATTTTGTTTTACGTGATGGTAGGATTGCTGGTGTCCTTTTTCTCTCTCATAAACATGCAAGATTTCAGGTATGTCTTGCTACTTCTACTCACACTTAGATCACACTACACATGCATGTACACGTTTATGTATACACACTCATCTGAGCTTTCTTTGATTTTATCTTAATAGGTTTTATTCTTATTGCTTTTCCTTTCATATCCATGGGGAAGTGGAATAAGAATCTTTCCTCTCTCCGTAAGCCATGCGTGTTGTAAAAGTCAACTAAAATGCAGGGAACAATGGGCTAGTAACCCCTTTTCCCATATAGCTTACTAAAAAGAATAAGAAGAAAACAGTCAGAATGGGATATCTGAATGTGTGTGGATGTTGTGCAAATGATAAGAAAGAGATGACTGTGGATGTTATGAATGAAAAGAAGTTGGATGTCCTGGCTTTAAGTGAAACAAAGCTGAAGGGGGTAGGAGAGTTTCAGTGGGAAGAAATAAATGGGATTAGGTCAGGGGTTTCAAATGGAGTTAGAGCTAAAGAAGGAGTAGCAATAATGCTGAAGGATAAGTTATGACAGGAAAAGAGTGAATATAAATGTATAAACTCAAGGATTATGTGGAGTAAAATAAGGGTTGTATGTGAAAAGTGGCTTATAGTAAGTGTTTGTGTACCTGGAGAACAGAGTAGTGTAGAGGAGATAGAGAGATTTTGGGAAATGTTGAGTGAGTGCATGGGGAGTTAAGAACCAAGTGAGAGAGTACTTGTGGTTGGGGATCTCAATGCTAAAGTGGGTAAAAATGTTGTGGAGGGAGTAGTAGGTAAACTTGGGGTGCCAGAGGTAAATGAAAATGGGGAGCCTTCAATTGAGCTATGTATAGAAAGAGGTTTGGTAATAAGTAATTCATATTTTATGAAAAAGAGGATAAATAAGTATACAAGGTATGATATAGCACATAATGAAAGTAGTTTGTCACATTATGTATTGGTGGATAAAAGGTTGATGGGTAAGCTTCAGGATGTACATGTTCATAGAGGGGCAACAGATATATTGGATCATTATTTAGTTGTAGCCACAGTTAGAGTAAGAGGTAGATGGGACAAAAGGAAAATGGCAAGAGCAAGTAAGAGAGGTGAAAGCATATAAACTAAGGGAGGAGGAAGTTAGGGTGAGATATAAGCAACTATTGGTAGAAAGGTGGGCAAATACAAGTATGAGTAGTTGGGGGATTGAAGAGAGTTGGGATAGTTTTAAAAATGCAGTATTAGAATGTGGGGCAGAAGTTTGTGGCTATAGAAGGGTGGGTGCAGGAGGAAATAAGAGTGGCTAGTGGAATGATGAAGGGTGTGATAAAAGAGAATAAGATAGCTTATGAGAGGTTTTTATGAAACAGAAGAGTTATAAGAAGAGCGGAGTATATGGAGAGTAAAAGAAAGGTGAAGAGAGTGGTGAGAGAGTGCAAAAGGAGAGAAGATGATAGAGTGGGACAGGCACTGTCAAGAAATTTTGCTAAAAATAATAAAAAATTTTGGAGCACGATAAACAAGTTAAGAAAGCCTAGGGAATGAATAGATTTGTCAGTTAAAAACAGAGTAGGGGAGTTAACCCCTTCAGGGTCCAAGGCCCAAATGTGAAGTGGTGCCCCAGTGTCCAAGAATTTAAAAAAAAAAAATGTTATTTTTTTTTATGAAATGGTAGAGAATCTTTTTGTGAAGGTAATAAAACAAAAAGTACGAAATTTGATAGAAAATTGACGAAATTATGCTCTCGCGAATTTTGATGTGTCAGCGATATTTATGAATCGGCGATTTTGCCGACTTTGACTCCCATTTTAGGCCAATTACATTATTCCAGTCAACCAAATTCTTAGCTATTTCACTAGTATTACTTCTATTCTATCAATTGAGCACAAGAAATCACCAAGTCAACTGTTTCAACTACAAAATAAAGTGATCGGAAATTGGTAATTTGGCCAATTTAACACAAAGTTCAAAATATTCCAATTTCAAAATAGGGTCCAGAATAAACAATGTAGGTATTCCTGGAACTAAACTAACATTTCCTCTGTTCATTAGTTACGTTTTGAGGCTTTACAAATAAATTCCATTTTGGTTTTTTATTCACATAATGAATTTTTATTCACACCAAAAAATAGAAGATTTACTGTTATGCAATACTGTAATAATTGTATAAATATCATCACCATATTTGTGAATGCATACTAGACCCACCAGCTGGTGTGTATTAGACGTGTGAGGTCGTTTGTTTACTCTTGAATATCGGCAAAAATTTAACATTTCTGCTACTTTGAGCTCAGTTTCAAGCCATTTCCAGTGCGAAAACCAATCAAAATCATCTCTATTTCTATAATATGTCTTCCATTCTATCAAATGAGACCAAGAAATCACAAATAGAACTATAAAAAAACATACGAAAAAACACTGCAAAGTCGCTCTTTTAATCGAAAAATCATGATTTCATTTTTTCTCTCATTATACACAGCGTGCTGCAGGATCTGTTTTATGTGGTGCACACATACCACATAGATGTATTCTCTCATATCTAGGCCCAAATGTACCACTCACAGTTTATCAGAGTGAGCTGAGCTCATGACGTAGATCTACGGTTTGGACCCTGAACGTAAAGCCGTAGATCTACGGGACGGACCCTCAAAGGGTTAATAGATGGGGAGATGAAGGTATTGGGGAGCTGGTGGGAATATTTTGAGAAACTTTTAAATGTCGATGAAGAAATGGAGGTAGTAACTTCATGCACTGGCCAGGGAGGTATAACATCTTTTAGGAGTGAAGAAGAGCAGGATGTCAGTGTGGGGGAGGTGTGTGAGGCATTACATAGAATGAAAGGGGGTAAAGCAGCTGGAATTGACGGGATCATGACAAAAATGTTAAAAGCAGGGGGGATATAGTGTTGGAGTGGTTGGTATTTTTGTTTAATAAATGTATGAAAAAGGGGAAGGTACCTAGGGATTGGCAGAGAGTGTGTATAGTTCTTTTATATAAAGGGAAGGGGGACAAAAGAGATTGTAAAAATTACAGGGGAATAAGTTTGAGTATACCAGGTAAAGTGTACAGTAGGGTTATTATTGAAAGAGAGTAGGATTGCAGATGAGCAAGGAGGCTTTAGAGTGCATAGGGGATGTGTAGATGAAGTATATACGTGAGCAGTATTTACATAAAGGTAGGGAAGTTTTCATTACATTTATGGATTGAGAAAAGGCATATCATAGAGTGGATAGAGGAGCAATGTAGCAGATTACAAGTGTATGGAATAGGTATTAAGTTACTAAATGCTGTAAAGAGTTTTTATGAGGATAGTGAGGCTCAGGTTAAGATGTATAGGACTGAGGGAGATTACATCCCGGTAAAAGTAGGTCTTAGACAAGGATGTGTAATGTCACCATAGTTGTTTAATATATTTATAGATGGGGTTGTGAAAGAAGTAAATATTAGGGTGTTGGGGAGGGGGTGGGATTAAATTATGGGGAATCAAGTACAAAATGGGAGTTGACAGTTACTTTTTGCTGATGATATTGTGCTTTCAGAGGATTCTAAAGAAAAGTTGCAAAGGTTAGTTAGTGGATAAGTTTGGGAGGGTGTGTAGAGGTAGGAAGTTGAAAGTAGATATAGAAAAGAGTAAGGTGATGAGGGTATCAAACAATTTAGATAAGGAAAACTGCATATCACATTGGAGGGAGGAACTATGGAAGATGTGAATGTTTTCAGATATTTGGGAGTTGACTTGTCAGCAGATAGGTTCATGAAGGATGAGGTAAACCATAGAAATGATGAAGGAAAAAAGGTGAGTGGTGCACTGAGGTATTTGTGGAGACAAATGAAAGTATAGTGGTACCAACACTTTTAT